CCCTCTCTCCACGTCATTGTCTCTGTCTCCAACTCTGGCATCACTGCTTCTCTGGGTAGGGTCCCACATTCCACTCTTCTCATGTGATGGTCCCAGGGATCTCCCCTCCTGGACTTCAAAGTCAACCACTCCCCTCGTTTTGCTACAGAACGTCTACCTTTACATTTCCAACCCTCATAGTCAGTCCTGATAGCAGTCATTCACTATTGTGCCACATGAGTGCTATCCCCATCTCCTTTCATCAGCCCCACCCAGACAGATTAGATACTAGTCCGTGGAGATTCTGCCTTCCTCCATACCCTCTGGATCTAGGCTCCCTCTTGAAAGCTTGTAAGCCAGTCACTTCTTACCTTTGAAGCGCTCCCATTTTGGGTAGCCAATGTCCATGTTGCCCAGCCCTGTCTACCCTGAATATCGAGGGGGTGGGAATGATCCTTGCTATAAAGATTTGTTCCCTCTTTTGAGCTACTGCATCCATGGGTGTAGGTCAAGTTTATCAAATTGTATCAGATTACTCTTTTTTTTTCCTTTCCTTTCTTCTAGTTGAATTCTGACCATCTAGCCATTGAAGCCAGGTCAAGTTGGTATTATCTGCAAGTGTGGGTGTGCTTATGCCCTCACTTCTTATCAGCTGGACGCTTCACTCTCCACTCTAGTCCTCTGTAGCTGTGTCACTGACTCTGGGCCTAAGAGTCCCCAGGTCTTGCCACACTGCTGGCCAACCATTTCTTCACCCGGCTTCACAGAAGTCTATTGAACATTGTAGGGCTTAGCTTGCAGCTTCATTGCTGTTTTTCCCTCACTTCCACTTATCGATCACCAATATGGTCACCAGTTAGAGAGCATGTCTGCTCGTGTATTTCCATTGAGTGTTAGTCTTGGAAGGGGTTTTGCCCTGAGGGTACCCGACCACGTGCCTTGATGTCTTCTGGGCAAGCAACTTGCTTGTTCTTGTAGTAATCAGTTGGACTGCCATTATTGTTTTGTATTTTTCTGTGGGTCTTTCTTTTAAGAAGTATCTTCTGTTCTTCTAGCTGCTCCAGGCTGGTCTGCTTGTCCTTTCAAGTGGAAATTTCCCACCTCAGAAGATTTGGATGGGGTTCAGGATTCCACCTATGGTCTTAATGTAATGCAGAGGCACCACAGGAAGCTTCCTTCACTGGGCAGGTTATAGCGCCTTTTAGGTATTCCAATCAGTTATAGGCAGAAGACAGACTTACAAGCTTTCTATGGTGATATTTCTGGCTATTCCTTTCTCTCCCCCTCA